AACAAAATTTATTACAATAATAATGTTTATTACTAACTAACAGTCTTTTTATTACAGCCTTTGAAAAACAGTACTTATTCTTATATACTATTTAAAATGCAACAAAAAATACCTGTTCTGAAACTAAACAAAAAAAAACTCTTAAATCTTTAAAATTACTAAATAAACAATAAAAGGCTATAGATTAATTGTCCTCTGGTGGTCCACCGTAGCAGTCAGAGCACACCATAATCACATGTTCCATACAAAAATATTTCTTGCAAATAGTGCAATTATATCGGGTCCTTTGATTTTATTTTGGATCTACAATATTAGCAATTACATATTTTATTATTTTTTGTTGTAGCCGTGGACTCTGGATAATCTAATTTGCAAATTTTAGCAAATCTTTGTCTTATCAGTCTTGGTAAATGTGTTTGTATTACGTCGCCTCAGATGTGGATTCATGAGATCGTATGATGGGGCTTCCAAAAAACTGCGAACAATTTTTTTGCTGAGATTATTGAGGACATATATGACGTCATAAATCTTTGGCATTCAATCTATTATTTCGTCTAACACCAGCAAAGAGTAAACGACCAAGAAAGGCTTGAATTTCAATCTCATCATTTTGTTAGATTATTATCTTTGCCGAGATAATAGTCACTAAAAGTTATTCGATCCCCTACTTTGCTGTTGGAATATTCCTCTAGTTCAGTATCACTTTTTTTTAGCCTCTCTTTCCACACAATCCTCGAAATCACTATCGTTTTCATCATCGTAGTTAGAATTTGAATTATTCTCCTCTAAAATTAGTCTTATTTGTTCGTTGACCATTTTGGGACGGAAATTTAACCTAAAAGTAGTATCAAAGTATGTTATAAAATAATAATCCAATAATAATATAAGAAATCATTAAAATTTTATAACTAATAAAACACAGTTCTCATCTAAAACTGTATCAGCTATACCCGCGTCGGTCTCCTGGACCAAACGGTTTCGTGTACGGACATACGTACTACCCGTACAAGCGCTTCCGCCACACTTAATAGACGCCGGCGACGATTCGGGCAGCTAGCAGTGTGCCCAATGTGCTAGCATTTATCGTTAATTAGAAAAAGACGCAAACTTAAACTCTCGGTCTGACAGACCAATACGCGGGTATAGGAGGGTTAATCACATTTTAAGGGAGAAAATAAATTTATTTTATATTTATATATATTTGAATTAATTAAAAGGTGAATGACTGTTACTTGCATTGAATGTTTAAGCAGTTCACTATTTACGGTAATGTTTTACTGTAGTTATATGGTATATTGTGTGCTTCGACAATATTTTAATATACATACAATACATTTATCCCCCGTTCTTATGACGTTACTCGTCTCTAGTGACTCGTGGTCAAAGATCTGGCAATTTTCCTTTGAGTTTGATCCAGTTCATTTGAAAACTTAACGCAACGTAACGGTTTTAAAAATTGGATTGTACAACAAACAAATGTTTAAGAATACTATAAAAATATATTATAAAAGTTTAGATAAATATGTGTATATTTTTCCATAATATAATATAGGTAGAAAGTAATCATTTATTGCTTCAAACTTATTTTTGATACTGTATTCGGCAAACGGCAAACATGCCATTTGATTAAAAAATGTTAAAAATTAAATAAAATATCAAAGGTATGAATATAAATAATATCTTTTTATAAGTTACGTGCAATGTTATATTTATGTAACTTTTAGTATCCAGCCAAATCTTTCAGAGAAAAGAGAGGCTGAAAAAATATTGCTTAATTAGTGTAATGTAATAAGTACATTTAAACAAAAAAGAATATGAAGTCCTTTAATGATTTAAAATAATAATGAAACATTATTCTGGGTGACCGTATATAAAATACATTGACGGCGGCCGGACGAGTTCTGTGATACACTATTACAATTTCTTTGAGGGACGTGAAACAAAGGAGGTTTAGACAAAGCGGGCCGTCATACGTCCAACGAGTTTGATCCATCCGTGCTATCGTCATGATTGACATGCTGGAAACGAAGAAAAATATGGCTTTCAAACATTTATTAAGATTGATGGACCTCGCCTTAGATCGCTGTTTGCTTTTACCGTATAATGATTGTGTATTTTTTCGCTGACACGATTAACCTAGATTTATGTAATATTTCAAAGTTATGGACCGTTGCAGATAGAATTATAAATGGCAACAGTGGAGAAGCCATTTACTTATTATAAAATTAATTTATAATCATGAACTCAGTCGAAAAACTAAAAATAATAAAATTCACGATCAATCGTAGAACAGTAACAATGGCCAAAGAAAAATTAACAACGAAAAGCCGCAGAGTTAAAGCAAGGCTTTAAATCAATCATGTGCCGGTATCGGCTAATAAATACAATTTTACGCAAAACGGAACTGACAGGATCCCAATAAAACGCCCCTGTTTCCTGCACTGACAAATTCCGATCAGAACTTTTTGGCGATCGATGTGAGTGTAATACAACCGAACACACTTCAGCTGTTGACGGAAAACAGTTATTTCAAGTTCAGTTTTTTCACAAATCGTATGCACAAAAAAATATATAAATTATACATCACATTAAATTTTATTTTTAATATGTACATTTTCTTCTTCATTAACGAAAGGTTGTTGTATTTCAGTTTCCTAGAAATCTTTCTTAGCCTCATTTTATAATTCTGAAATCAACTCATTATCTAATACATAGTTAGACTTCATTCGAATTAAATAAATTGTCAATTGAAAACAATGACTCAATCTCACAAATAATTCGACTCCAGTTTAGTTTTTTCTAAAAACGACTGTTTACGATCCTAGACGAGAGGTCGCGGACAGAAGCACTCGTAAAGGTCGTCCATACAAATACTAGTGGATTTGGGATTCTTTTGAATTTTTTGTTATTGGGTTGGACGAATATTAAAAAAATATATATTTCCTAAAAATATTATAGATATTTTTTATAAAGTTGACCTAGCTTTTTTGTCGAGAAAGATACGATATAAAATTATAAGTCAACAAACAAATACTGCAATACAGAAAAAATGAGGATCGAATTTATTTATTTTTAACCATAAGGATGCTGTTATAGTGGGGTAATACGTCATAGATAAATTTTGATCAAAACGAGTTTTAAATGTCCTTACTTCCATATTGATAAATCACTTCCTTAGCTGTGTTCCTAAATAAAATATCATTGAATGTATTAAATATTATTATCCTCCAAATATATATTTTTATTATTAAATAATCAAATATTTATAATATTTTCATGTAAAAGGATTATCGATGAGACAAAAAAATATTATATTTTTATATACGAGTGCAAAAGTTCGAAGCTGCTCATGTGAGATTTTTTTACAATACGACTACCAACCGTCCCATATGGGCTTTATTTTGTTATAAAATTATTCTCTTAGAATATTTTTATGCCTCCCAAAAACTATAATAAAAATTCTTTAAAAGAACTTTCGTAATTTTGTATAGTGTTTATTATGTATATCTTTAAATGCAAGATTGAAATTTTATGTCTAAGAAGGAAAATAAAATTTTGAAAACTACTATTGAAGATTCGTTTACATAGAGGATTAATAAAAGAGTAAAATCATTAGATGGTGAATATGAAAAGTAAATGATAATAATAGTTGACATTTAATTCTAAGAATGTTATATTTAATAAAATTTAATGAGGCAATTACATGTCTTGGTACCGCATAAATGTATTTTACATTTGATGCAATATGCTGTAGAAAACATATTGCATTTTCTTTTCAACATCTTTTCGCATATCATAATAAGAATTTAAATGATATGTTTCATGAAAACTACATTTCTATACGTTCAACTCCAGCTCAAATTTTTCGGTTTCTGTTCGTTCCACCTAGTTTTTATTTTTGACATCTCTGTTCATTTGTTTTTGTTGTAGTTCGTATTGAAACCAAGCATTGCAAACTATTAAATCAATCATGTGCGTCATAAAACGCAACTTCAATTCCATGATACGTGCTCGTGTTGGATAAATGCCCAGCTTTCTGTCAGCCAAATCACCTCCCACCATGAACCAATGATGATATGAATCGACCCATGGAACGGATAACAGTCAGGCGGCTTGAGTTGAGCTTGGATTATCTTTGCGTTAATTACGAAGACAGACACAGTATCTCGTAGTAGAAGTAAATACAGATGTTTTGTTGAGCCTTACACTGATTGGAGGTGTTATTAGGTATCGTCGCGATTATTTATATTTCAGATTATAAACCTTCCACCGTGGTCTTTTGCATGGAAACAGCCTTATGAATCAAGTTTAAAATGATTTATTATTTTTTAATGGCAGAGGACTCCCATTATGTCTATCTTGTACATGAGACCGAACTAATTGAGAATTGTCTTATATTTCTGTAATTACAAAATTATGCTCAAAATCAAATATTCTTCTTCTTCTATATCAATAAAGTAAGTTGTAAGTCGATTATTTAGGGTTAATCAACCAGATTCAAACGCTATTTTTTATCCACTTCAGGGTCAAAAAAATAATTCACCGATATGTTAAACATATATATATATATATATATACATACTTTTGTCATCTGCATATGGCCTAATTACGGGTAGTCAATGGGTCCTTTGTGCGTTTTGGGAAACATTTTGGAGTACATTCGTGCTCTATCGCGTCAAGGACGTAAGGGTCCCTTTGAATGTCACTTGATTATTTGGCTACGTAATCAATAATTCCAATAGCTTCCGATGTGATCCTGTTACTACATGAACATCAAGAGGATTTATAATCTCGCTTCGAAATTATTACGATACTTTTCTTTACCATCAATAAATAATAACAAACCACAAATCTACAAAACATTAAATTCAATTCTAAGTAGATACTCATCAGCAACTTCGGATCGCTAAATCATTTAGCAGTTGAGACTGTGTTTCTTTAACTAAATTATTAATATTAATTACCAGTTACTCAATGAAACAAAAGCAGACGCCTCGATTATGGCAGCGTCTGGGGCTGCTAATGGAATGAACAGTAAGCTCGTCTATTGCGACCAAACCGAGTTGCGTAATGTTTCATCAAATTGTATGTAATAACTGCAGAAGCACATTTAAATCTATTTAGGTATTTATCTGCCACCAAACGTGAGCCACACAATATAGTACGTTATTATTGATTTATATTTGTATTGTGACAGTTGTAGTGTGTTTTACAGTTATATTTTACAAATTGTTAATTTCTTTTTTGTTTCTAAATATCGAGGACATTCCATTGACATTAATTATGAGATCTCAGTTATAGTGATATATTTTAAAAGATAAGTAATCTTTAACAATTACGATGAAAAGAAAACGGCAATCTCTTCAAAGTTAGAAAATAGCATGAAAAAAACTGCCAACCACCAAATTGAAATTTGGGCGCAAACTTTGTCACGGCAATTAATTAGGCGGCCATCACGGTTATCCCGCTATCAATCAAACGATTTGGCAATTGTTTAAGAGTGGAATATTGGAATTAGGATATCGATGAGACATCCATCTTCATTACTGCGTCTTCAGAGCCGAGGAGACGTCTTAATATAGAATGTTTTAAAACTTACAATGACAAAATTTTTGCAATCCGAATTAAATAATTCAATTGTGAATCTTTTTTATTTATTCTTCGCTGTTATTCACTATGTGGAATAATCACAACATATATGATCGTAATATGCGATTTGATATTGATTACACATATTCACACATGGATAATACATAGATAAATGTTATATTTAACATTTATATGTTTATTTATCAACAGTTTCAATAAATATGAAAGGCCTAATAAAAAGCTGGAGAGTAATTAAAATTTCTTATTAAATAAATATTTTAAAATAAACAGAAAAACTGTTTGATTTGCTTATATAGAACTCATATGTTGATTGGCATCTGCAATAAATTTCTGGTAATGTTTGCCGATCCACCAGTTTATGTAAATGAAAGGAAATTGTGAGATTTTGACGAAAATTCCGTCTGATTGAAGTATGTATTTAGATCTTTGATCAATCAATTATTATTTTATAAGGTTTGGTAACGACTGTGCCAACACATTTATATTGAGTCAAGTGTGTTTACATTTTATTTCTATCTCAAATGTACATTAAATATTCTCTTTTCTATATTATGTCTTCAAAGAACTTGCTTCGCAGGTTGCTACGAGTATAAACATATGAATATCAGTTTGTTTCATTGACTATAAAGTGTATTAAAAAAGGAATGATTATTGAGTCGAATAAACATTATTCATGAAATCTTCATTCTCATTCTGAATGAACATGGAAATCCTTTCAAGCGGACGGTACATTAACCGCCGGTGACCTGAGAATTGTTATTGAGGTTTCGTCAGAGCGGCGATGCATGCTGAATTGTGTTGCAGGTGTGAAGTCGTAATTAAAAGCGTTCTGCGGACGTCACCTGACAATCCATTTGTTAATTGAAGAGATGAAGACATGTTGGAATATTGAGCGGGCTAATATTGGGATTGGTCGTTTCCATTCACTTCCTAGGCTTTTATCTGGCGCTGATGTTATTGTGACCCAGCTTTGTTAATGCTTTCAATGGAACGTGTTTGATGACCTGAAATACCTTCTGATTACTTATTGTTCTACGATTTGTATAAAAATATCTTTAATAAATAATAATTTTAGTGGAATGGTTTCCGTAGCTATTGAGCTATTTTTTATAAATAATATAAGTATGTACACTAATTAAAAATAAATCGTCTTTTTTCAGTTATTTGGTATGTTTGCTTAATGGTATTTTGTAATTAATATCCAATATTAATACATTATTTAGTACGGAGCGTGAAAACAAATTTTATGTTAATATGAAATATATTTACTGTGCCGCGTGGTTTCTCGATGATTCAATTACTTTTGTATATAATAAAAAACAGATTTAAAAAAAAACTTGACTTTTTGGGTGTCATAGATTTCATAGTATTTTTTATTTAAGTTTTACTAGAAAGGAATAAATGTATGTTATGTTAGTAGCAATTTATTTATTCATTAAATTTATAATAATAGGTATATATTTTTAACCTTACATATAACACATTATATCCGAAGGATTCAGTTGCTCTCTATTTCTATTGTTCTCCTCACAGTTTAAACTACTATTATGGGAATAAAGAAGATCCGACCATAAAACGTATGACAACGTTGTTCAATTCCAAAAATAACTTTATTCGCTTCCCATTAGATCTTATTATTGCGAAGCAAAATATTCTCGTCTATTGTGACCACATAAAGATAACGTGCACTCGTGCAAACCCATATTGCCATGTTCTTAAAGTTCACAATCGTGTGGTAAACATACATTAAACCTCTCGCAGGGTCGCAGCCCTCACGATTTGGTACTGGAGTTCCGACTTCCGTATCTCGTTAGCATACTAATGGGCCCTCGAGGGGCTCATATTGTGTTGTATTGTTAGTGTCTGTGAACTGTTGCTTTAGATTGCTTCAGGTCGTACCGACTTTAAATGTAGGAAGTAAGGAAAATAACAGTTATTACTGACAGGTTTGCATTGCATTTAAATATATATTATATACCCGCGGTGAGACCTCCGCTGAGAGTCACTTGTTGCTTGTGTGTTCGTTTGTTTTTGATCACACTATTCGATTTTCCTATTTGCGAGTTGACGAGCGTTGTAAAAACTTATATTCACTATTGGAGTATACAGACATAACTGTCAAAAACGTTTTTTATTAACTATCTTTTTTGGACGTAACATTGTGGGGGGTTTAGATTTTTCTCTTCCAAATATCAAATTTTGTGTACAGTGGATAGTACAGTCGAACATAATACAGTTTTAGCAAGTTCAGTTCCTAGCAGCTTCGTGGGCATCTTGTTTAATATAATATCTGCATGAGAAGGTCTCGTTGTCTATTAATATTGTTATGTTTCAGCTGGTGTGCGCACGGTGGACGTTCAGGCCGTGGAGGGGATGGTAGCACAATTCCCATGCGACCTCGGCACTGCGGCTAATGACAAAGTATACATGGTGTTCTGGTTCAGGGATGACGCTGGCATTCCATTATACAGGTGAGTCGGTTTCAAATTGATGTTATAATAAGTTTGAACGACTGTAACAGTATAATTTTATACGTTTATTATAATACAGAGTAACGAACGCGCTGCATTATGAGAGCAACTTATAAATCTAATTAAGATAAGGAGTTAGCTAGTCGCAGAACGTGATCGCGAGACGGCACGCGATAATTACTGTTCACGATTCACAAGTTTTCACTACGTTCAGAATTAAGTTTTGTCACAGATACTATAAGTGAATACTGAAGTTTTGTCAGAAGTAATATATGATCCGGATTAAAATATGCATTCACAGAGCTTTAACTTCGATGTCACCGAATTATAATGAACACGTAAAACTGTTCTCAGAAACTTATACGTACTTAAATGATACTGCTGCTTAGTGTCATCTTTGAGTCAAGTCTTAATTTATTTATATAACAGTTGTATTCGATGGTATTTTATATCTAAAACAATTCGTTGCATGTAACTTAAACAATCAATAAATAAAGATGGAAAAAGTTTGTGTTGATATCAACAGTAATAATGTTTGTGGTATAAGGGTCAGATAGCATTGGCGACTGGCTTCATGCCAACTTAAAAAGCAAGAGGAAGACGATTTACTTGTCTTGGCGTTATAAATAAGGATTGCCTTTGATTAACGACTGTTATAATACAATTGATGTCTGCTCTTCGTGTGTGATTGGTGTTGTTGCGGGTTTGTTTCATCAAATTAATTAAAATTTCAGATTGAAACAGACTAAAGTATAAAAATGTAAAAGTTATTGAAATATTTTTGAAACTACAGAACTCGCTGTTTTTAAAGAGTCAGTGGAAAATAATGAATTCGAAATTATTTCCAAAAGTAATAAACACAATTTTCACGTTGCCGTATAAACAATCCGTTGAAGTAAAACGCGGATTGTTATTTAAATCTAAGTTTGGAATTCATTTGCAAACCAAAGTTAGTTGAATTCTTACAAATGTTTATTACATCTGCAACCCAAGTTCAAGAAAACTATACGGAGTCGTAATTAATTCATATGCTCGCTACTTGCCGCTCTTGAGAATTTACTCGACTACGTTTTATATTCAATTAAATTCTTAGTAAGTTGAGAATGTCTAAGTGACTTTTAAAAATATTGCAGCTGTTATTTTTAATATCACCTCTGTCAACTGATCATGTTCAGTGACCATACAATAGAATATGAGTTGGACTGTATGTGTGTCTGTACGTAACATTTGTCTCTTAAGCTATTTTAAAATATATTTGAGAATTTCAAAGCAAAACGCGATGCATTATTAAACGAGAGTAAGTATCCTTTGATAAGATTTTGTTATAGAAATCCTATGATAATAGATATTGTGAACAGTCTGTCTATATTATGGAGCAGAATCTGTGAACAGAGGGACGAGGGTTATATAACATATTCTATTAAAAGTTTCACACATCCCACAAGGTATAACATTTTGACAACAAATCTTGAATGTTGCCTCGTCTAAACCACATTTAAGAAATGTGTTCTTTGTTCTTCTCTTCTCTTATCTCCGAGCCCCGCCCTTCCAATTAAACTTAAGGCGCCTCCTGAACATTTAAATTAGCTTCACTACCAACTTTCCACTCCTCGTGGAAGCGTTAAGTCTACACAGGGATATAATCTGTCTTGGTATTGAAAGTCCGTGGATTAATAATATCCGTCTTATCGCTGTGAAATAACAAAAAATATGTGATATACCAGCTCAGTGACGTACCTCATAAAGTGTTTCGAAACATCAATTTGTACAGTGAAGTGAATGCAGTGCAACAGGATTTTATGTGAATTGTTTTTACATGGATAACCTGCCGCGTTCCAAAACCGATCTACTAGTTGCATGAATGAGCAATAGTTACTATCAGATAGTTTAGAAAATTTACAATTTAAAATATGTTGCGCTGAACGTTGGGGTTACATCGGGGAAGTTTTTATTACATAAACTTCTTCACTAATAAACTATGTAGTTTTGAACGTTCACCATTTAAACAACATAAATAATATTATTAAAATATTATTTATACAAATACTTATCATTTCTAGATACTGATCATTGCGAACACCAATCTCATAGAACAAATCAACATATGTATGTTTTAACCTTAAGTTTGATACGTCAAAACAATGAATTTATAAAAGGAGGTATTCTTGTTAAATATAAACAGCTTCTGCCCCGCGCGTTTCACCTCGTTCAAACCGTCTGCGATGTTTTCCGATGCAACTCTAAACAAATCTAATTAACAAAACTATGTTCTTCGCCTTCCCTCTTAAAACTAGTGTTTTTCACTTTTTGTTTCTCAAAGTTTCTGGAATTGAGAGCTTCTATGTATAATAATCATAATCTTTAAGTGTGTATAATTAGTTTTTAACAATTATCTGGTGAGGTAAAGAATATTAAACTTTAAAAATAAATATAATAAAAATTATTATTAATCAATAATGATTTTAAAGTTGTGAATAATTATAACTTGACTCACAGGAAAAGCGTTATATATAATAAATAAAGTAACATACAATTTTCAAAATGTATTTTTCGTTTTTATTCAATTAATGTCACTAAACCAATGATATTATTTGAACGAGGTAACTCGTTTTCATATAATCACAAACACTATACTTTAGGTAGTAAATGTACTTCAGTAGGTTAATAAATATCTTCCATCCGCACAATGTAGGCAGCGGATGTTTGGGTTCCTACTTCCGTACAGGATCATACACATTTAAATAATTTATATTTTTGGAGTTTTAAATCACATGTGCGAGGGTTCATAATTGTTGTGGAATAAATTTAACTCTCCGTCCCCCATTTAAAGACATAATTCATTTTGCAGGGAGATAGTATAACATATATTTTTATGATTATTTAACAACCGACTTCGAAAATTGTTAGTTTTACTAAATTTCTTTAGATTAAGTTAAAAATTTATTAACGGCGGATGAAATAAACGTCAGGTTTATTTTATTGTCCATCGACTGGAAAGTATTTATTTATTTAGTTCTGCCGCTATCTTTTATGCGAACAACTGTTTTAACGAGTCGCCCACAATAAACTCACGTTGCTGATACTACGACGTTTAAAAGTTTGACAGACTTTTCAAAAGGTGTCATTGATAGGGATTCCTTATTCTTGTTAAAGAGTCACGTTGTTTTTGATAGTTAAAAGAATAAAATACATTGTTTCGTTGTGAAATCTCTAATACATAAATATCTATGAAACCTTGTTAGATCCGTACTAATACTAATATACATATAAACAACGAGCAGTCTTCTGCACCAGAGACTGAATACGAGCTAAAATTCAAATTTCCAATTTAGTTTCTAAAACGTCTCTATCGTTTTCGAGTATCGAAGTATCGACTCGCGCGTGAACATCCCGAATTATCGTAAACTACTGACCCACTACACTCCATACGTGCTTTGTTTTACCATCTCACTCACACCAGATGCCGAGGGATTTCCAACCTTATAAGGATGCAATACAGACTAAGCGAATGCAAAATATAAGTTAGTAGTTGTAAATAGCAAAATTATTTGTTGAATTTATCGAAGCAAGATATATTTTCCGATCGCCCTTCTCTAAATTAGATAACGTACTGTTAAATGTAGTAATGATCACGGAGCTTCTCTATCGATATAAAATGACTTACATTATGTGTTATTTAAAGTCAACAATACTGAACAATCAACAAACATAAGTTATAAAGACTCCCTCGCTGAACTCTGTGAAGTGTCCTCTCGTGTATGTACGGAGGGTATTCAATGTGCAATTCACAATAAAATGATGACAGAACCAATCGCCATTATAGAAACACAATCAATCACCGGAATGTTTTATGCCTTCCAATAAACGAAAACCGACTCCAAAATAAAAGGCATTCAGTGTTTTGATAATACTCAAATTTATTTCTATAAATTGTTCACGATCCGAATGTTCAAATCATTCTATGTGCAGATATTTGTATCGATAAATTTATTTTGAGTATGAATCGTTATTTGACATCGAAATTGAAACAAAATTGAGTAAACGCTCGCTCCCTCAGCCAATGAAAATAACAGTCCTTATGTTTGAAAACTAATACGTTTTTTATGTTCTGGATTGTTTTCTAGTTTGAAAACAATTTATTTAAAAAAAGAGTTTTACTTACTTCGTTATTAACGTGTGTTATTTTACCTCGTTCACAATGAACGGCAACTGTAATTTAGTTGAGGAGGAAAAAATTAATTGTAGTTTTCATAATAACTTGAAAAATAAAATATACAAAGGAGAAAATATGTTATGAGTATATCCTGTGTCTTTTTTTTAAATACTCACAATTATTTAAAATTACATTTAAGTAACATCGCTACCTGAATTTCAAGAAGAATTTTCCTAGAGTAGAAAATTCCTAACGTGTTCCTAAATATTTATTGAAATTAGTGAATAGACCTCGCACTATATTGAAAATTTAATGAAACTGTGTACCGACGATGTTGTTTCTATCGGCTAATATAGGAGGAGCAGAATGAGATATGTGGCGAAATATATTATGTAGGCTGTGATGTTGATAGACAATAGTATTTTTGTTAAAATAAAACTAATGTTTTTCAGATTTATTACTTGACTTTACTCTTTGACTATTGGTTTTACCATTACTTGAAGAGATGTGGGCACATCGTGTTTTCCCGTGATCACAGTTGCTGCAAACGGGTACGAATTCCGAAAAATTTAAATATTATATCAATTGAATATTGAAAATATTAGATATTAATACACTAGTTGCTTTCAAAGTGAAACAAAACACCTCATATAGAAAGATAATTGATGACATCCAAAAAACTACTTAAAAAACATTATTTCTGTCCTTTTATTAATAAAGATTGAAAGAAAAAACTTCTTAATTAAAATAGTTTTATTACATTTACAATAAATATGCATTAACATTTTCGAGACATTCTAAAGCTGACCTCATAGTACTATGTACTGAAAAGCAAAATCACGGGTCAAAAA